ACACCGACACCTCGCTGACCACCGACATCTACCTGGACGAGAGCATGCGGCCGCTGGAGCGCCTCAACACCGACTCCGTCTGGTACTGCTTTATACTGGTTTATACTGGTTTCTACTGGTTTGGACTGGGAGGGGCCTCAGGGAATTTTTTGGGAATTTTTTGGGATTTTTTTGGGATTTTTTTGGATTTTTTTGGGATTTTTTTGGAATTTTTTTGGATTTTTTTTGGAATTTTGGGGGGAAAATGGGGGAAATTGATGGATTATCATACTGGTTTATACTGGTTTCTACTGGTTTCTACTGGTTTATACTGGGAGGGGCCTCAGGGATTTTTTTGGGATTTTTTTGGAATTTTTTTGGATTTTTTTGGATTTTTTTTTGAATTTTGAGGGGGAAAAATGTGGGAAAAATGGAGAAAATGGATGGATTTTTATACTGGTTTCTATTGGTTTCTACTGGTTTCTACTGGTTTCTACTGGTTTATACTGGTTTATACTGGTTTGGACTGGGAGGGGCCTCAGGGAATTTTTTGGGATTTTTTTGGGATTTTTTTTGGAATTTTGGGGGGGAAAAATGGGGAAAAATGGAGAAAATGAATGGATTTTTATACTGGGTTATACTGGTTTATACTGGTTTATACTGGTTTATACTCGGAGGGGCCCCAGGGAATTTTTGGGGATTTTTTTGGGATTTTTTTGGAATTTTTTGGGGGTTTTTTGGGGGAAAAATGGGGGAAATTGATGGATTATCATACTGGTTTATACTGGTTTATACTGGTTTATACTGGTTTCTACTGGTTTGGACTGGTTTGGACTGGGTGGAGCCTCAGGGAATTTTTTGGGATTTTTTTTGGGATTTTTTTTGGAATTTTTTGGGGTTTTTTTGGGGGAAAAATGGGGGAAATTGATGGATTATCATACTGGTTTATACTGGTTTATACTGGTTTATACTGGTTTGGACTGGGAGGGGCCCCAGGGAATTTTTTGGGATTTTTTTGGGATTTTTTTTGGATTTTTTTGGATTTTTTTTTGAATTTTGAGGGGGAAAAATGTGGGAAAAATGGAGAAAATGGATGGATTTTTATACTGGTTTCTACTGGTTTCTACTGGTTTATACTGGTTTATACTGGTTTATACTGGTTTGGACTGGTTTATACTGGGAGGGGCCTCAGGGATTTTTTTGGGATTTTTTTGGAATTTTTTGGGATTTTTTTGGGAATTTTTTTGGAATTTTGGGGGGGAAAAATGGGGAAAAAATGGAGAAAATGGATGGATTTTGATAATGGTTTATACTGGTTTATACTGGTTTATACTGGGAGGGGCCCCAGGGATTTTTTTGGGATTTTTTTGGAATTTTTTGGGATTTTTTTGGAATTTTTTGGGGTTTTTTTGTGGGAAAAATGGGGGAAATTGATGGATTATCATACTGGTTTATACTGGTTTATACTGGTTTATACTGGTTTATACTGGGAGGGCCCACGGGGATTTTTTGGGGATTTTTTTTGGATTTTTTGGGATTTTTTTGGAATTTTTTTGGGGTTTTTTGTGGGAAAAATGACGGAAATGGATGGATTATCATACTGGTTTATACTGGTTTATACTGGTTTATACTGGTTTGGACTGGTTTATACTGGTTTATACTGGTTTATACTGGTTTGGACTGGGAGGGGCCCCAGGGAATTTTTGGGGATTTTTTGGGGATTTTTTTTGGATTTTTTTGGATTTTTTTTGGAATTTTGGGGGGGAAAAAATGGGGAAAAATGGAGAAAATGGATGGATTTTGATACTGGTTTATACTGGTTTATACTGGTTTATACTGGTTTATACTGGTTTATACTGGTTTGGACTGGGAGGGGCCCCAGGGAATTTTTTGGGAATTTTTTGGAATTTTTTTGGAATTTTTTTGGAATTTTTGGGGTTTTTTGGGGGGAAAAATGGGGAAAATTGATGGATTATCATACTGGTTTATACTGGTTTCTACTGGTTTATACTGGTTTATACTGGTTTGGACTGGTTTATACTGGTTTATACTGGGAGGGACTGGTCCATACCGGTCCATACCGGTCCATACCGGTCCATACCGGTCCATACCGGTCCATACTGGTCCATACTGGTCCATACTGGTTTATACTGGTCCATACTGGTTTATACTGGTCCGTACTGGTTTATACTGGTTTATACTGGTCCATACTGGTCCATACTGGTCCATACTGGTCCATACTGGTTTATACTGGTCCATACTGGTTTCCCAGGAACTTCCACGTGTGGAATGACTGCTGGATGAAGCGGCCGGACCTCCCCGACGGCTACGACGGCTGGCAGGTGGTGGACGCCACGCCGCAGGAGACCAGCAGCGGTACTGGTTTATACTGGTTTATACTGGTTTATACTGGTTTATACTGGTTTATACTGGGAGGGGCCCCAGGGAATTTTTTGGGATTTTTTTGGAATTTTTTGGGATTTTTTTTGAATTTTTTTTGGTTTTTTTTTAATTTTTTGGTGGAAAAATGAGGGAAAATTGATGGGTTTTGATACTGGTTTCTACTGGTTTATACTGGTTTATACTGGTTTATACTGGTTTATACTGGTTTATACTGGTTTATACTGGGAGGGGCCCCAGGGAATTTTTTGGGAATTTTTTGGAATTTTTTGGGGATTTTTTTTGAATTTTTTTGGGTTTTTTTTTAAATTTTTTGGGGGAAAAATGGGGGAAAATTGATGAGTTTTGATACTGGTCCATACTGGTTTATACTGGTTTATACTGGTTTATACTGGTTTATACTGGTTTATACTGGGAGGGGCCCCAGGGAATTTTTTGGGATTTTTTTGGGAATTTTTTGGGATTTTTTTGGATTTTTTTTGGAATTTTTTGGGGAAAATGGGGGAAATTAATGGATTTTTATACTGGTTTATACTGGTTTATACTGGTTTATACTGGTTTGGACTGGTTTATACTGGGAGGGGCCCCAGGGAATTTTTTGGGATTTTTTTGGAATTTTTTGGGATTTTTTTTGGAATTTTTTTGGAATTTTGAGGGGGAAAAATGGGGAAAAATGGAGAAAATGGATGGATTTTGATACTGGTTTATACTGGTTTATACTGGTTTATACTGGTTTATACTGGTTTATACTGGTTTAGACTGGGAGGGGCCCCAGGGAATTTTTTGGGATTTTTTTGGAATTTTTTGGGATTTTTTTTGAATTTTTTTTGGTTTTTTTTTAATTTTTTGGTGGAAAAATGAGGGAAAATTGATGGGTTTTGATACTGGTTTCTACTGGTTTATACTGGTTTATACTGGTTTATACTGGTTTATACTGGGAGGGGCCCCAGGGAATTTTTTGGGATTTTTTTGGGAATTTTTTGGGATTTTTTTGGAATTTTTTTGGGTTTTTTTTTTAAATTTTTTTTGGGAAAAATGAGGGAAAATTGATGAGTTTTGATACTGGTTTATACTGGTTTATACTGGTTTATACCGGTTTATACTGGTTTATACTGGTTTATAGTGGTTTATACTGGGAGGAGCCCCAGGGAATTTTTTGGGAATTTTTTGGGAATTTTTTGGGATTTTTTTGGAATTTTTTTGGGTTTTTTTTAAAATTTTTTGGGGGAAAAATGGGGGG